TCACAGTGAGCGGGTCCATGAAAGAAAGGGCGCTCTCTCCCTGACTGCCTTCTCCTGGAGCTTCTTATAGACATGATCCTGTGGCCCATCACAGATGTAGTGACTGCCAATCACTGATGTTCTCATCTCGCGAGCTCTCTGTGTTCAGAGAGCCGAGTCCCTTCCCCATGCCCTCATCACCAAGGTGTCATATTACCAAAATGTTACAGGTGTTTCTTATATTTACAGAGTGTTCCAAGCATAACTCTCGCTTCTCTTTTCCTTAAAGCTATATGGTCTGCTACACGTAAAATAAAATGCATTTAATACATTTAACTTACCAAATATAATACCTCACCTGGTGGACCTTAAAAGTGCTCAGAACATTTGCATTAGCCTACAGTTGGCCTATTTTATAATGAAGTGTTGAATATCTTAATTTATTGAATACTATGCTGAGAGCAAAAAATAGAATGGTTATATGAATTTGAAATGTTTTTATTTCAAATTCAAGTATTGCTTTCTTTCAGACCACTATAAAGTTGAAAAGTTGTTAAGTTCAACCAACACAATTCGGGAAATGTCTATAATTTGGCCGTTGCTGCTAAGAAGGAATCTATGTCATGTCTGATAGCAGTGTCTTTGTTTAGGGCAGATGCTATGACACCAGGACTTAGGATGGGGCTGGCCATATCTGACACTCTTAGGGAGGGGTTGGTTGGCCACATCAGAAAGAAATGCCATGTGTTTTAAGGCAGTAGTTCTGGGTCACATGGTATCCGTCCACCTGGAGGCTGAGATCAACCAGGCAGGCAATTAAGCTAATCAATTGTGGCTACATAATGAAGCCTCAATAAAACCAGAGCTTGAGTGAACTTTCCTTTTGTCAATACTCTGTATTTACTCTCACACAATGATGACAAAAGATTAATGTATCCTGACTCTATGAGAAAGGACAACAGAAGTTTTATGTCTAGAACCCTCCATTCTCTACCTCCTGTGTGTTTCTTCCTTTAATTGATTTTAACCTGTATCATTTCCCTGTAATAAACCACAATTGTGCATTTAATAGCTATCAGTGAATTCTGTGAGTCCTAACAAATTATCCAACAAGAGATTGGTTTTGGGAACTCCTCAAAACACTTGTTGTCAGAAGTGAGGTCAGTTACTATTGAGGTGACTGTACCCTCAAACCCTGCAGTTCGTCTAATTTCAGTTACTAATCCCATTCTACAAAGAAAGTAAGGTGTCAAGAGTAGATAAACTGGCTCGGCGCCTGTGGCTCAAGTGGCTAAGGCGCCAGCCACATACACCTAAGGTGGTTGGTTCGAATCCCCAGCCCGGGCCCGCCAAACAACAATGACGGCTGCAACCAAAAAACGGCCAGGCGTTGTGG